CTTTTCCGGAAAAGCGCGTCTACATTGGCCACAGACGCTTTTCCAGAAAAAGGGCTTTTCCGGAAAAGCAGCCTGCCAATGTAGACGCTCCTTTTCCGGAAAAACTGAAAACGGAACAGTATTCCGTTTTAAGCATTTCCGGAAATTCATGCCAGTGTAGACACAGCCTATGAGTCTATGAGTCTATAAGCTCTCGCTCAGGAATAAGCCCTCTTCCGCAACGGTTCTTGCGCAAGAGGCCAGTGTAGACAGGCAACATGAATTTCTTGCGCAAGAAAGCCCTATGGTTAAAATGGCCATCGGCGCTTTCTTGCGCAAGAGAGCGTCTACACTGGCGTGGATGCTCTTGCACAAAAGCACATCTCTTGCGCAAAGGCACATGCCAGTGTAGACACTCTCTTGCGCAAATACTCTAACGCAAAACTCTTGCGTTAAAGAATATTTGCGCAAAATCTTTCCAATGTAGACGTAGCCATATTCCATATTTCCCCAAGTGTGTATTGTTGCTCTGTGCTGTTAAAATAGCTCTCATATTTCAGCCCAGAGCCTGCTGCATTTTGCAGTGATACAATTATAATATCCCACTGGAGAGAAAACTAGCTGTAATGAGATAAATGGAACAAAATAAAATTGATGCTGAAACCTTTAACATTTTCTGCCTGTGAGAGTTGTTTATCTGGATGGTAGCTTCCAAGGAAAATGATAGGGTTACCACTACTAGAGGGATTTGAAACTGGCCCAAACCCTAGATAATGTATTTTAGAGAACATTGATCAGAAGGATGAGCTAGATAAATTTCTAGAATGGCATAAATATTCAAACCTTTTCATTTCCTGGACCATTCTGTAAGACAGTTGGACAATCTCTTTTACACCTTCTTGCCTCCACAACTCCCAGTCCCCCACCTTCACGGTGGCATAAAAGAGCTCCCTTAACCAAATCTCTGGTCTAATACAGTAAACCTTTGAACAGAAACAAGAGTTCTTTGGGGAGGTCCAGATCTACATCTCTTCTTGGTTCATGACCAACTTTATAAGATGAATCCCAACCAGAGCACTAGTCTGGAACAGGGGTAAATTTGCTTTGGAGTCACAGTTCTTTTCTCATCTCCAAGTTCTTCGAATCTAGGCTCACTCAGTTTATCAGAAGGAAGTCCAAATATCAGCCTGAGAACTGTCTGAGAACTCCTGCACCTCATTAACAAATTACTTCTGAATTCTCCTCTAAGTCCAGCTTTTACTCTAACCAATGCATCCCATTTTATGGAAGTCTCCTGTTGATAAAACTCCAAATAAGCAACTGAAGTTTGAGATCATATACATCTAAATTTCTACTTTTGCCAAACAAACTCACATTCTTTCTTAAAACTCTAGGCTTCCACTCACTGCATCGCTCTATAAAGTCCCAGAGGGGTAGCTGTGTTAGTCTGTAATTTTAAAAACCAATGAGTATCATGAGTTTTTTTGGACAAAACCCACTTCTTCAGATGAGCTTGAGTGGAATAGAGTCTCCATTCAAAGTCATCTGAAGAAGTAGGCTTTGCCGACAAATGCTCATGATACTATATATATATTTGTTAGTCTCTATGGTATGTCTACTCTGCATTCCTCTTTCAAGAAAGGAATGCAAATGCAGCTGAGTGAAATTGCAAATGAACCGTGAATTTACAAATCTTGCACTTCATTTGCATAATGGCATCCGGGCGCTTTTTCGAAATACCCTATTTTGAAAAAAAAACCCACCATCTAGGTGAGTTTATTTTGAAAAAAAACCTTCTTTTGAAATAACCCTTAAATCTCATTTTTTTAAGGAGTAAGGGTTATTTCGAAAGAAGGGGTTTTTTTCTAAATAACCCCGCCTAGACAGTGTTCTTTTTCCGAAATAGGGTATTTCGAAAAAAGCCCGGATGCCATTATGAAAATGAAGCGTGAGATTTGTAAATTCACAGTTCATTTGCAATTTTGCTCAGCTGCATTTGCATTCCCCTCTCAAAAGAGGAATACAGTGTAGACATACCTTCAGGTGCCACAGGACTATTAATTATTTTCACTAATTATTGTATAAAGTGACAGCTCAAATTCTGATCTTAATTACATGAGTGTACCTAGCATATCAGAGTTATAGAAATCCAAATCTGTCTGGAGGTGAACCACATGTGCACCTCTAGTGAGCACTGTAATTATAATGACATCCATCAATACAATTCTGAAAACTAGTTAAGTTCCAAAAGAATGAACATATTCCAGTCAGAGAAAAACTTCTCCCGGTATCCTGAATAGTGTGATTTTGTTCTAACTCTGTGCACTTTAGATCTGACAAATTGCTTAATACTGGGCTGTTTGTTACATGTCAAAAACATGTCCCCGTTGTATGCAATGCAAAACTGATTGAACTGGGAGTGTATAATTAGCTGCAGAACGAAAGTTCTGTTTTTGACAGCATTTTTTGTTTTTATTCTTCCATCAAAAACATACCTACGCAAACAATCAAACTAATACACACAGGCAGATCTGCACCTGTAGAATAAATTGCTCTGAATATGAAAAGCATTTTCATTTACTTACCATTGCAGAAGGTGAAAAAATTCACAAGTGCCACTATCCACATTAACTTTTCCATTCCTCACCGGACTGCAGCTACTTCTCTCTTACACTGAACTCAGTGAGACAGACCCACTCTGCAGGATCAGAAGCCAAGTCAGCAATACTTCCTTTTCTTCACTCATTATATCATCTGGGATCTGGAGCTGCTGCTGCTGCTCCTCTTGCCCTTCCTTCTTTCAAGAAAAGCACAAGTATGGATGGGAAAGAGCCTAACAAAGGACGGAGTTAAGAAGATTCTAATAATCTTTCCTTTTCCATGTCATGTTTATTTTGCGTCTGTTTACCTACTTGCCATTCACTTCATTTTTTTTTTCAAATAACTGCTGTCTTTGAGTCTCTTTAAAACTCAACAACTCAACTCCTTCTTGCCATTTTTTCTGCTCTTCCTTTTCATGTTTTTCATTTATTTCTCCTGTGGACATCTTTATATGCACATCTCTCTCTCTCTCTCTCTCTCTCTCTCTCTCTCTCTCTCTCACACACACACACACACACGTTAAATGAACATTTTTCAGGTTGTAAAGACAAACATGCCAAAGTTAGGAACTGCCTGATTTAAGATTGTGCAACTGAATTTGGCTTGTTTGTGAAATGTACCATGATAGAGTCTTTAACTACATGAGCACATACTATTTGTCTATATGAGCCCCTGGCCTTATTTAGGGTGTGTCTAGACAACACGTTTTTTTCGGAAAAACAGCATTTTTTATGAAAAAACGTCACCTACATCCACACTGAAATTGCATTCTTTCGAAAGAAAATCAAAAGAATGCTGAGGGTTTTCTGACATTAGTAAACCTCATTCTACAAGGAAGAAGGCCTTTTCCAAAAGAGCTCTTTTGGAAAAAGGCATGTGTGGATGCGGAAGAGGCAGTACTTTTGAAACAAGAGGCCTCTAGGAAAAAGCACAGGTGCCTCTATGGACACTCCATCCACACTAATCACAGCTCTATAGTTCCTGTCTCCAGCCAGGTCTTAAAGCTGCAGGTACCCGGGGAAAGCCATGTGGCAGAAAGCCGGCCTCAGAGCAGCACCACGTGGCTCTCCCTGCCACACCAAGGAGCCATGGCACAGCCACAAGCCCCCCGGAACTCCCCTGGTCCTTCCAGGCAGCAGCCCCAGGGGCACCAAACACCAGGCACCATCCTGGTTGGGGGCTGAGATCCAGGCCCTCCTGGAGCTCTGGGGCAAGGAGCAGTCCCTCCAGGATCTCCAGTCATGCCGCAGAAATGTGGACATTTATGGCCGGATGGGCCGAGGCTCTTGGCCAGAGAGGACACCACCCCTGCACCCGTGACCAAGTGAGGAGCAAGGTGAAGGAGCTGTGGCAAGACTACGTACAGGCCAGGGAGCACAGCTCCTGCTCTGGGGCAGGACCCCACTCCTGCCTCTATTACAAAGAGCTCCACCAGATTCTCGGTGGTGAGCAAGCCCTGTCCTCAGCTGCTCTGGTGGACTCAGGCCTCGAGACACCCGTGGTAGCCTGGCTGGAGCTCCTGGAGGAGGAGGAGGAGGAGAGACAGCAACTGCAGAACAAAGAGGACACCAGCAGCGTCATCGCCCTCAACCTCAAACCGATACTAGCATCTCCCAGGCATCATCTGACGCTGGGGAGGGAACATCAGGTGAGTGCTGTCAGGCTGGCGCACACACAGGGCGGGGAAGGTGGGAGCACAGGGGATGGGGCATGATTGTCACTCGACATGCTCGGCCTGGACAGCGAGCAGCAGCAGTGTGCACCACGTGGTCTCCAGAGCACCCACGGGCTGCTGCTCACAGCCTGTGGGGAGGCCCCACACAGGTCCGACCCCTGGGAGGGACGTCCTTCCCCCGCCAGGCACTGCTGCAAGCAGACTGGGCACAAGGGCACACGCACAACCCCACACAGACCGACGAGTGTGGCACATAGCACACGGCCATGCCTGCATGCGAGAGGCACCACCCATTACCGCAGACAGAGCTGCCAGGTGCAGGGGTGTGTGTGTGGGCCCCAGGGAGGACCAGGCCACTCCAGGCCCCTCTCCCGCCCATGGGAGCCCACTCTGGCCAGAGACTTCCCTGGCCTGCTTGTCCATGGGGAAGATGGGGGGGAGGGAGCGGGCAGGATAGTCCCCAGGGCAACTCGGGGCCCGTGTGAGGTGGGGCCTGCTATGCAGGCCACACGTGGCCTTGCTCTCGGGACATCACCATCCCCTGTTCCAAGGACAGTTGCTCGCTCCTCACAGAGACACAGTCTCAGGGACCGTGTCTGCAGGGATGACTGACCGGCAGCTGCCTCTCCCTCTTGTCCTCCACAGTCGGACCAGCCTTCGCTGAGGGGCGAGCCACCCCAGCCCAGGCAGCCAACCGAAGCCGGGGGAGCCACAAGCACTGGAGGGTCCACTACGACCTCATGCGACAGCACATCGCAGTTCTGCATGCAGCAAGCACTCGCCCAAAAGAGCCGCGATGATGCCGAGTGGTGCAATCGCGTATGGGACCAGCTGGTGAGGCAGGGTGAAAACATGTGTGCCACCATCTGGGAAGTGATGGCACACCCGGCTTCTGTCCCCACTCCTACTCCCCCCACTCCTGGTCCTCCCACTATCCCTGACCCTGCTGCAGCCCCCCTCCTGCCCAACCCTCTGTTGTCCCAGGCCCCATCCAACCCTGAGTCTGCCGAGGTCCCCGGACCTGAGGTGGCACTCGTAGAGACCACATTGGGGATGTTGCGCTCCCCCAAATCGAGGCATGTCAGCAGGCTCCTGAACCGGGCTTTGAGGCACCTGAAGGCACATTCCACCTGCATGCGAGCCCAGTTCAGGTGCGCGTTAAATTGTTCCCTGCTCGGGTCCAGGTGGCCATTGTAGGGCTTCATGAGCCATGGAATTAGTGGGTAGGCTGTGTTGCCCATGATGCAAATCGGCATCTGCACATCCCCCACTGCAAAGACCCACTGCGGGAAGAAGGCTCCAGCCTGCAGCCTGCAGTAGAGGCTAGCATTCCTAAATATGTGGGCATCATGTGCCTGGGCTGACCACCTTACAAAAATGTCTGAAAACTGTCCCCAGTGGTTGACCAGGGCCTGCAGCACCATGGAGAAGTAGCCCTTCCTAATAATATACTGGGCCACTCAATGGGCTGGTGAGCGGATCAGGATGTGTGTCTTATCGATCGCTCCTCCACAGTTTGGGAATCCAAGGGCACCATATCTGGCCACAGTAGGGTCCAGGTCTGCGAGGTGGATGATCCTGCACAGCAGGATGGAGTTGATGGCCCTCACCACCTGCAGAAGGAGACATAGAAACATACAAAACAGAGAATGAGAAGATGTGCCTGAGCAGCAGGGCTGTGTGAGGGCAGGACGGCACAACCCTGTCCCCCGCCCCTGGGGAGGGACGTTACCTCCACCCTCTCTCTATCCCCCACTTCCCATCCCCTTTCCTGAGGGTCCCCCTTTTGCAGCCCTCCCTCCCCGCCCCACAGGGCATGTACCCCAAGAGACAGTGGACTTCTGCACGCAGAACTAGTGTCCCACCGAGTGGCAGCTGTCTGGTGTGGAGAGCTTCCACATGGCAATTGCGACCCTCTTCTCGAGGGGAATGGTGGGCCGCAGGTGGGTGTCCTGTCGTCAGAGGGGAGGGGCGAGCCAGTCACACAGCTCCAAGGTGGCGGCCTTCTGCCTGTGGAAGTTTTGGAGCCACTGCTGGTCATCCTACCGCTCCATCACAAGGCCAGTTCCCCCAGTCGGAAGTGGTGTCCAGGTTCCAAAATCGCCTCTCGACCATGGGACATTGGGGCAAGGGCATTGCTCCTGCATCCTGGCAGAAGTTCTCCATGATGAGCTCAGATCTGAGCTGGGGCAGGACCATCAGGATGGTCTGTTGAAACTGCTGCCGAAGTTGCAGCATGGCAGTGTTGTAGCTGAGGAATGGTGAGCCGGAGAGACCTTGGGGTCCATTGCAGGTTCTGAAAGAGGTATGCTCTAGGAGACACAGACACTCCCATCCATTCCCCCCCAAGCTTGATCCCTTCTGCCCAGTCCCCTCAACCTGTCCCTGATCTCAGTCCCCGTCCTGTCTCTTCCCCACCCCTCCCCTGTTCTAGTCAACTTCCCCTCCCCATCATCTCTCAGTCCGTCCTCCAACTCTCAGTCACAGTTTCTTCCTCCAGTGCCAGTGTCTCCTGACCCTTGTCCCAACCTACTCTTTCCTCTGCCCTTTGCATTCAGACAGTTTCCTCCTCCAAGCTGCCTTGGCACCCACAGGGAAGTCATTAGGCCCAAAGAAAAGACAGGCTTCCTGCTCTGAGTTCCAGTTCTTGGATGAGTCCTGACCCAGCCCAGCAGAGAGCTACGGTTACAGAAAAAGTCTGGCTTCTCCTCCACCGCTCTGGGCTGACGCATGCTTAGTTGCTCTGTGGGGATGGTACTTGTGCAGTCCAGTCACAGGTGGAAGCTGTGTAGGGATACAACCTGCCTAGTCTGGTCAGCCTGGGGAGCTGCTCACTCATGCTCAGAGGAGGGCTGAATCTTTGAAGATTTTAGCTTTTAAAATAAAATGTCTGCATTGAGCATGTGCAAAGTACAGTTGTTTCAAGCCTTATCTTGGCCAAATTTGGGCAGATTTTTGCAGGTAAAGTAGAAAGCATACCCACTCGGTTCCCTCACAATCTCCTCATACGTCATGAGCTCCAGTCCACTAGTCATTTTTATTGCCCTCCTTCCCCTCACCCCTACCCCCGCTGGACCCTCTCCAGTTTGTCCATGTCCTTTCTATAGAGGGGTGCCCAAAACTAGGTGCAATGCTTCAGATATGGCCTCATTGGTCCATCAGATTGAGGGAAATGTCTATTCCCTTTGGGTATGTCTACACTACCCTCCTAGTTCGAACTAGGGGGGTAATGTAGGCATACCACACTTGCACATGAAGCCCGGGATTTGAATTTCCCGGGCTTCATTTGCATAAACTGGGCGCCGCCATTTTTAAATCCCTGCTCGTTCGAACCCCGTGCCGCGTGGCTACACGCGGCACGAACTAGGTAGTTCGGACTACTCATTCCACAAGGAGTAACGGTAGTTCGGACTAGGAAGCCTAGTCCGAACTACCTAGTTCGTGCCGCGTGTAGCCGTGCGGCACGGGGTTCGAACGAGCAGGGATTTAAAAATGGCGGCGCCCAGTTTATGCAAATGAAGCCCGGGAAATTCAAATCCCGGGCTTCATGTGCAAGTGTGGTATGCCTACATTACCCCCCTAGTTCGAACTAGGAGGGTAGTGTAGACATACCCAAAGGGAATAGACATTTCCCTCAATCTGATGGCAATACTCTTAGCAATGCACATTAATATGCCATTAGCCTGCTTGGCAACAAGGACACCCTGTTGACTCATATCCAGCTTCTTGTCTACTGTAATCCCCAGGTCCTTTTCTGCAGAACTGCT